CTTTTATGTGGGAATTTTTCAAAAGCGAACCCAAAGTGACTTACCAAAATGCTAGTAATCATTTATAAATTTATAATTGCATCTAAGTTTTTGTTTTCACTCTTTTTGTGTCCGATGTCTTGCGGAAGGTGACTGCAAACGGCCTTCCAGAATCTTCTCAAGAATCTTCATTGAAGTTTCCCACTAATGTAAGATAGAACCATCTAGCCATGGAAGGTTGTCCGTTCACCGTAGACTCCACGTTACCGCGTCTTGCAAGCCATCTGCCCAGCTCTCCAGCCTTGGATCAGCTTCTCCAGTGGCTGGCTGCGTATTGGATTACCCTGGATGCCGGCCTTGTCCGGGGGAATGGCATTATAACTGAGCCATACAATTTGCATAGCTGCAGTGGCAGTTCTGCAGCTCGAAAATGGACGGGGGGAATGGGTCACGAGCATATAAATCAATCGAAATGTGGAGCTGTATTCTATATTTCATTTCATTCCATCAGCATGCCGGCTCCTGTTGGTTTTTCCGGTATGTTGAGTCACACAATCCGCGAAAGTCCTGCCGTCCTGCTGCTGCCGTGGCTTACAACAACATTCGGCGGGGCTTTTGTCGCCTTTTGTTGGGTCCTCAAATTGCTGCCAATTTGTTTGTGGCTAGCTACCATTTTGGTCGTTTCTTTCCTTCGCTGCCGAGTTTTTTATTTCCCAGCCCAGCGCATTGTCCATCTATGGGTAACCATGGTTTTGGGTTGGGTTCGGTTTATTTTTTGTGGCCCCACTTCGCTGGCATTGCATTTTGTATTTCGCATGTATTTTCCGGAAAAGGGAATGGAAATGCGAACGGGAATGGGAATGGGAATGGTAGTGAGTTCGAGTCTGGGTCTGGAGCTGGAGCTGGATCTGTGAGTCTGGGTCCCGGCTGCTGTCGCTGCCGTTGTCATTTGAGGTCAGTTTAAATGGTTTCCTGTCAGTTGCGGTCTTCGGTTTACCAGAAACGGCCAACAGCAGCAGCGCCGGCCATCATTTTGCATACGTCGCACAATATTCAATAAAGTATTCATTCATATTTCTGCAGGGATTCGTTTTATATTTTCGTTATTTTTTTTTTTTTTTTTTTTTTTTTTTGTGTTTTGTTGACTGCTGCCTGTCTCTGGCAATAACTCTTCAAGTTATCGCTCTCTTCATATTTTTGTTTGGCAGTAAAAGTTTTCCAAACTATTTCAATTTTGTTGCAATTGCAGAATTTAGCCTTGCAGCGTGCTCCAGTTGCAAGTTATGGCCTCCGAAAAATGTGCAAATAAAAGAATCGCTTTGCTCCGGCGCATAATTAAGCGCGTTTTCTTCTGGCATGAAAATGAACACCTCAAGGTGTCGCACGGAAAATGCATTGAATTCAATACGACAGCTACGAAATGAGATTGTGGCATCGTGGTGTTGCAGTTGCAGTCGCCTTTGCTCATTTACGTTTTATTTTATGCCACAAATACCACAAGAATTGCAACACAGTCTGCGAGGCAGCCAGTCAGCCAGCCAGCCAGTCGGTGACTATGACTGACTGACTGGCGTCGACGAATGTGACACCATGGGTTAGCTCGAGTGGAAATGCAGCAGCAACATCAGCGGCAGCAACATCAACAGCAGCAACATCAGAAGCCCTATGCATTTGCCACGCTGTTTCTTTCTCGGTTTGTTACTTTTTTTTTTTAGTTTTTGCTCTTGTCGTACCCGTACACACTGTTGTGTTTTTGGGGCCAAGCACTTGAACATGATAGGAGCTTAGCCGAGTCAACCAAGCCAAGCGGAGTTTTGTGGCAGCCAAACACGTAAGTGGCACATGCGCGGCGTAAAATTGCAAATGCCAGCAGCAGCGGCAACTGCGTTAATAATACGGCTGTCTAGCTGCAGAACCAAAAACCAGACTCATAGCCAGAGTCAGAGTCTGTTGGCTACCTGACTGACAAACACACACACACACACGCACACTTACACACGCACACAAACAGCGTCCTTTTCCATCCCTTTGGCCGTCCCATGTGGCGTATGCGTAATGTTGACTGGACAGCTGACATGACTACCTCCTTTCCGCTTGTTACTGCATCCGAATCGGCTTTTTGGGGTCGTGGGACATCAATCCGGACAGGGGAAAGGTAAAACGGGAAGAGGAAGGCTCAATTTTGATTGATGGAAAAACAATTACCGAATTGATGTGATTACTGCCCGTTGATTCGCAAAGTGGTTCATTAAAAACGAAAAGGTGGAAAGTAATGCATTATTGCTGCTCTCTATTCATGGGATAGCTGTCAGTAATTATACCGCTTCTGCTAAAATGGGAAAATATGAAAAGCTTCTTTGTGAAAACTTAAATACTTTTAAATTTTACAATGGCACGCTCACAAACCGCAGAAACAATGAGCATCAACAACAGTTTTTTACAGTGCTTAAATAAATGTGTTTTTTGTAAAGTTTAATTTTTTCACCCACTTATGTATACTAACGTTTTAAAGCTTTTTATGAATTCTTAGCATTTACCCAATATATTTGTAAAGCAAGAGGTTTGTAACGCCATGTAATCAGACAACGTAGAACCGCTTCCATTGAGGATACATTTTGTATTGTGTGCTTCTCTTCCATAGCTTCCGAATTACCATTCATCACTGCATTCTTATTAATCAATATGGCCTTCCTGGCCGCGTTCAACGCTAATGTACCGATCCGAATTGCCTGGCGTTGACAGAAGAGAACCGAACCCGAATAGAATGGAACGGGGCCGGGCCAGGAGTCCTGTCCATAAACAGAATGACATGGCAGCCAATTAATGTCTACCATGTCACGGGCTTGCTGTGCCCTCTTTGCCGGAGTCGCCTCCGCGCCATTTCCCCTAACTTGGCTGCTAACGAACCTTGGACCGTCATCATCGTCTTCTGTGCCAAATGGGCAATTTGTTGTCGTTTATATAAGGCGCATTCTGTGCATTTTCATTGTTATTATTGCGCCATCCTCTGGCCCTCTATTCCCCCCCTCTTTCCCCATCTCTTTCGCACACCAGACAGCTGTCTCCTTCTGTGGCTGCTGCTATCTTACTTGCACTTCCTGACCGCACTGGTGTATATTAATTTTGATGCTGGGCCAGAAAAGTGCACATTTACATGCAGAGCGGCATTTGTAATTTGTGGACTCTTAGCCAAGTACCTCCGACTGCCACGCCCCCTTTTTGGGTGGGAGTAGACCATGGCAGTACGTAATTGAGTTCATGTCATGTGCTGTCGAAGTCTGTCTCGCTGTGGCCTCTCCCACTTTTAATATTCCTTGGTTGGCCAACTCAACCCTCCCGAAAAACTGCCGAGAGTTGCACTTAAAAATATTGTTGTATACCATTCTTGTTTTTTCGGCGGAAAAACAGAAGCAGCAGCAATCCAAAAATCTCTCGCGGGGCCAGCTTAGCCCCTGGCAGTCCGGGAAAACTGAAAATTTCTATAAATCCGCACTTATTCCCAAAACAATAAAACGCGCAACAATTGCGCCCATTCGCCCTTAAATATGCAACGGCAACAATCCGTGGAAGGGGGCTTAGATGGTGGTTAAGAGGGGGGATAAGAGGGGGTCAAGAGGGGGACTTCGGCGGAGCAGCAACAGCTACACCCCATATTAGGAATGCCATAATTCAGCGGCGATGGCTGGGACGGCAGTCCTCGGCTCGAGTCCCTGCTAAGCCCACTCTTGTAGTCATTTGCCTGGGACCTAGACAAAAGCAGCAGCAGCACCAACAGCAACAGCAACACCAGAAACAGCAGCAGCAGCAGCAACAGCAGTGGCAGTTGCAATACAGTGGGCAGCAGCAACATACTGAAGAAAAAACCTCATAGGTTGCTACCATAAAACTGTAATCCTTTTTTGTTAAGTTAATAGTAAAAATCGCTTTTTAAAAGAATTATATATTTGTAATTTAATAGCAAAAAATATGTATTTTGATTAAGCATTCAATCACTACACGATGTTTAATACGATTAATACATGATTACATTATTAACCCATTTCAAATTTAGTTCATAATTGTATGCTAGAGTGAGCTCGGTATTTTAATATCAATAATATTAATCTTAACTAAGCTATTGTGCAGTTATTTGAAATAACAAAATAAGTAAACTTTTTGCCAATGTGTATTAGCTGTAGAATGTATGCCAGCAATTTAGACAACTTCGTTGGGGAGCGCAAGCTGGCTAAATTATCAAAAAATGGAGAAGCGAGAAACAAAACCCGAAGGAAGCGATAACTTGCATCGCTGCTGGACCCCCGAGGGGCGTGCGAAGGGGGTGAAAGGTCGACGGGTAAAGGGGGGTTATTACATGGAGGTGCTGCTTTCGGAGGCGTGGGCACACAAACACAATAAAACTTATTTACGAGTCACGACGGGGTGGATGCAGGGGCTCCGGCGTAGTTCATTGTAATGCACTTAAAGGGGGGAATAGCAGGGGCGTCGGGCGGGGAGGGGTCGAACGAGATGCGCGCAAATGATATGCAAAAAAAGGGGGCGAGCGTTTCGGTTAAAGGGTAAATGAGTGCGCAGCGTGAGGCGCATGAATGAAAGTCGCCCGGGCCAAGGAAACTGGGCTGGGAAAACCGGGGGAAAGCGGCGGAAAATGCAGGCGGAGTGGCGACATAAAGGCCAGGGTAATATAAATGAAGGCAACAAATGGCAAGCCAGAGAGCAGCAGCAATAATATAATAACAACAGACACGAGCTCCAGCGAAGTCGGCACTGAACAAATATTTTAACTACGGTGGAGGTCTGAAAATATTTTACTTTATGGCAGAGTTAAATCGAAATATTTCCCGTGGTATGCAAAAATGTTTTATGCTTTAAATTTGTGGTATATTGTTATGAACCTTAAATTACTCCTTTAAAACCTACCCTCAAAGAATTATTTTATATTCCCATTCTTATTAAATATTTTGCCAATTTTCCATTCGTTACCAATCCCAACTGACGGCAAATCCTCTTTTCCTGCATTTCAGTTCCCCAACGAAGAGAATCGGAACTCACTCGACGGCAATTTTCCTGGCAAGGTAAGCGCAGTCCCTCGAATCCGCTGGTAATGAGTCCGGCCACGCCTCTTTAAGTTTTAATAAGCGCGCCCATTACGCATACGCCCCATTAGCGTGCGCAACATGCGTTCAGCGGCTCAATTTTCGTTCAGTGCACACGGTGCAAGAAGGTCCAAAAGGGACGGCAAAGAAGATTGAAGGGATTCGGGGCCGTGGGAGTTGGAGTTGGAGTGGGTGCAGAAGCTGGAGCAACCTGAGTGGGAGTTGCGTCCTCGTCACAGTACGTAAAGTTCTCAGTAGTCAGTGAAATTGCTGCGCGTCTTGTTTATTGTTGTTGCTACTTGGCTGCTTGAAGCGGCTACAAGTGCTGGCGAGTTGGCTACTTGCCTCGGAAATGTGGCTACTTTTGGGGGAAATTTAAAGGAAAAGAATTCCATTTTAATATGCTACTTAAAAAATATAGAACATTTACCTTTATAATGTTAGATAAATTTAGCCAAACTTTTCTTGTTAGCAAATAAATGTTAGCTACTGTTATAAATTTCTGATGATTTATTTGGCAACTCTGGCTGCTGGTGTTGGTGCTCCTGTAGAAGATGCTCTTGTATTTGTTGGTTTTGCAAACGTGGCTGCCGCCTTTATTATGGCGCTTTATTGTCGACTCATGCTGCATGGAAGTTGCACCTCCATCTTTCCATCGTCGCCGTTGTTGCAGCATCTTCTCCGGTGTTTCAGCCCCCTGGGCTTCCGATATTTATGGCCGGCAATACTTTGTGCGATTATTTATTCGCTTCTTTGTTTGCTTGCTCGGTGGGTCGAAAACCATATGAGCGGTCGTCGCGACTGCAAATGCAAATTGGCAGCGGGCGGGTGCCAAGGCTCATTAAAATGTACGCCGCGCCGAAAAAGGACGAAGATGTGGGAAGTGGCCAGAAAAGAAAAGCAAACAATATGCATATCCGCCAGAAGGACGTCGGCAAGGACATCGTCAACGGATCCTGCGAGTGGCGATGTACGTGTGTTTGCGTGTGTGAGCGGGGGTAATCGTGCGTGTAATAAACGATAATCCATTATATATCAATTTTTATCGCACCCAAAGTCGGGCTAAGAGCATTGTCGCTATATTTTATGACCCTGACTGGGGGCGTAAGTTGTGTGGCCAGGCTTTTAGTGGGCATGGTCCTTGAATTAAGTGCTTTCCCGCCGACGTCTTTATATGGTCTTCTTAGTGAAGACGGTCGATTGATTCTGACTTGATTTTAATACCACCAAACAAGCTTATCCAGCTTAGTCATTAGGCTTCCTTCGTTTACAACTTGGTATCCAAATCGGATTTACTTCGCAGTGGATGATTAATAAAGGTCAGTAGCTAAGAAGAGTCATGTTTATTTATTAAAAGTTTTCAATTTTGTATGTATAACATTTTGCGCACACCCCGACGACCGTTATATACATATTTTAGAATATGTAGAAAAAAATAATAATGTAACATTCCTTGCAGAACTTGACTTCCTCTGGTTTATTGGTAAATTACCCGTAACCACACTTGTACTCATTAGTAGTAAATCAGAGAAAGATAAAGAAGTCGGAAAACATCAACCTGCTGATGACCGCACAGCACAAAAATGTAACGAACAGAAATCAGTTTAACTGTAATGCGTCACGCCAAATCGTAGTTAGAGTTTTGGGTTCGAGTTTCGGGCCAGAACTTTTGACAGTAACTGTAAACGCTAAGCGTGTGTTTTTTTCGCCGGCTACTAATTAGCAGCCCGAAAATTGACGCATCATCATCCTGCTCATCATCGAGGGCAAAGCTCGATACCTACGAGCATATATATGGGTACTCTTATATATCGGGCGTCATTATATCGGTGTGGATCCCCCGCATTTCCCCCACGCCCACCAACTGTTTGCATGTGGCAGGCGGGCCGTGGTTAATTAGGAAGCAATATTTAACGTTAATGCGAAATAAATCGCAGCAGAGTAGAAAAAGTCGATGGCGAGATGCCCGAAGAAGTCGCTCACTTAATTATGTTGACGTTTATGCCGGCATCTGCCATCAGACACCCACACAACATGGACAAAAGGGGCGGTGGAGGGGCGGTGCCCAAGTTGTATTGGTGGCGAGAACCCAGTAGAGATCCCCAACGGTAATCATTATTAATGATGACTTTTAGTTTACAAGCTAATTATTTGTTACTGTTACTTCCACGGCCATCGGAAAAAGAGTGTGGGGGCGAAAATGTTCTCAACTTTGGCGGGTTCTACACTCTTAAAAAGGGAATACTCCAGTAATCATATTAACTGGAAAGGATTAGTAATGAAAAACATTTTAAAACCTTTTTTTAGAAAAGAATGGAAGACACAAATATGACATTACATAATAGACCTTTTTATTAAAATATTACATATTTTGTTCAGTTCCTTTAAACAAATAGAAAACCTGAAATTTAAATACATTGTTCACATTTTCATATTCAATTACATTTTACTTTTTGTGTAGCGTTAACCATTTCTATGGTTAGTTCTAAATTAACCTCTTCTTTTTCCAAGTGCCAACTTCGCTGATTCTCAATTTTCAGCTTTCGGCGCCTTTCGCTTTGATATCGTGGTCGTAATTAATTTATTATATAGCCTGGCAGTGCTCCGGTTTTTGTTTGGGCTCTTATTAATTACCATTTGGAGTGTGAAATTTTTGCATATTATGTTTGTCGGCACGAAGACCAGTAGATTGTGTAAGCCGACGGTATTGAGATTGTTAACCCAAACGATCTTTGATCTGAAATGGCAATCTAAACGATTCGAAAATGTAAATTTAAGCTGCTTAAAGAAATATGACCGCAGTAAAAAAAGCACAAAAGAAGTCAGAAGTCAAGCGAACTGTGTGTGTTTGTATGTAAATCAATCGCAACGCCCACAGTACAAAAACTACAGGCGGTCATAAATTAGCAGACATCAGCGAATCGGGCTAACAATGAATGGATTTGGAAATCAATTCGAAATTGGGTCACTAGAATTGCGCAGACGCGGCGGAAGTTGATTCGGCCCAGATTGGCGGACTTAAGAGAGCGGTGGACTTCGGGTAGTGAATAGTGGGACATAAATTTAGCTAATGTTTCCTTCATTCAATGGTCTGGTTTGCTTTGGAATCGTTCAGCGGAAAGATAGTCCGATAAGCAGCGACCTGCTTTTTATCCAATCCATGAGAAATTTCGGCAATAAGAAGAAAATAACTAAGCTCAAATTGAAAAAAAAAAACATAAAGAATTGAAAACCTTACAGAATTAAGAGGGCTTCTAAAAAAAATTCCTAATCTAAAATTTAAAGCATTCATTTAAACTAGCACAAAACAAAAAATAACCGGCATGAATAAATCAACGACCAAAGCGAATGATGTGAAGTGTTATGTACACAGCTGTAATTATGAAAATTTGCATTAATTCTCTGGCTGACAAAAAGTAAACTTTGATGACGTTCATTCGCAGGCAATGGTGTCAACTGTGACGAAATTATTTTCGTGATTTGTTGTGGTCTTGCGTTTCAAAATTACGCAAACGATCGCACGACGACAGCCAAATAAAGAAAAAATTAAACAGAAACGTCTGCAAAGTGCGTGGGAAGCGCTGAACACGACATCGAACAAGACAAAAGCCCAAAACCCAAACAGTAGCAAAAAAAAAAATGATTACCAAATAACAACAACAAGGCGAACAATGCAAGATGACGACAAATTAGATGCAGCGAAGGTAAAATTAAATAAAAATGCAATTAAAATGCACAGCATTTTCTGCGACGAAATGGAGGTGGAGGCGGGCGTCGCTCACGTTGGGAATAATTAAAACAATTTCCCCCGCTCTCTGTGTGCGACACAAAACAAAAGCGAAAGTGTTGAAATATTTATGCAGAAAATGCACAGAAAAGTGTGCAGAGCAAAAGGTAGCGGACGACAAGTGTCTCCAGCAATATACGGCAATACGACAATACTCGCTCCGTTCGAGATAGTGATAACCGACCAACAACAAGTCGAATTTTAATTCGCGTTTTTAATGGCAACGACGAGTTGTAGAGCGGCACTTAGTGGGGAGATTGAAAAGTTTTGCAAGACTATTTCAACACAACATAGCTGTTAAGTTTTTCTACATAGGGGAGACCGGGGGTCGTGAGACACGGGGGGTCGTGAGACGCGCTTACAGCCCTGAACTAAAAAGCGCGACATCTACCAGCTGACTGTGAAACTTCTTGCTTGTTTCCAATCTTCATTTCCACATCACAAATATTCCGCTCATGCCGATTCTTTATGTCTTCCCAAATGGCAACTCCAATTTTGTGATCGAAAGTTTTGTAGACCGTTCGTTTTTGCTGTCTTTTCGCTTTGTTTTACAAGCTATTTGCGAGAGTGCATACATCCGAAACATTCCTTGGTGAGTAGCCTTTTGACACCCGGAACAAATTTTGCATAAACATTTAATGCGTCCATTAAGCAGAAGCCATATTTAAAATATAGCTATTGGGGGGTCGTGAGACAACGTTCTCGGGGGGTTATGAGACATTCTATTACCGCGTCATCTAGGAACATAAAATTGTATTTTATAGCCTGATATAGTGTTTCTGTACACAACCAAAACGTTTGATGATAATTTTGATATTTTTGATGGATTCAGTGTTTTTGATGATCGTTTTTTCTTTCTTTAGTCATCATGGTGCGTCATAAGTATAGTCAGACTGCCAAATCTGCGATTGATGACAATGTTTTTGTGGCTGCTATAAAAGAGGTTGCTATCGAGAAAAAGCCGCTACGGTCCGTTGGTAGATCATATAATATATATAATATATATGTATATATATAATTTTTAAAGATTTAAATAAAAAATTTTGATAAAATTAAGCCATTTTCATTCTTATAAATTTGTGTCTCACAACCCCCCGAACATTGCGAAAATCCATAAAAAACAACTTTTGAGCAGGCTTGCAAAACTTGAAGGTCGAACTAAAATTTCAACTAATTATACTTTTGTCTGAGT